TGTTTACTTGTGTCTTTTTTCTTCCCACGTAATTTCAGCTTGCACTGACATCACTTTGGCCCATGCTCTGCAGTTCTCTGATGCTCAGTTCACCCTTACCTGAACACTGTTTAAGAAGAAAACCCAACCAATTCATCTCTGTGTTAATTAGCTGCTCGAGTTAAGAGGGCATACCTAGTCCAGTCAGCTACAGTAAAAACATATGCACGTGTTGGGGGTCGGGAATTCATGTGGTTATATAGGGCTTCTCCTCTCCAAGGCCAGCGCAGAGGAGAAGGATAAATTGGGAAAGGCAGGCAAAATTGAATGATACTCTGCTATGTTACCCTAGAGAGACAAACCAGCATGCAATCTAAGATGACAATTGAGACTTTCTTAACAGAAGTTTTACATAGTTGGACAACAGAGTGCCCCTACATGCCCACACTCAGTGTCCATTTCAGAACAAATTACTTATTGCATGCCTCACATTTTGCAGATAAACAGAGTAGTGACCATTCAACCAGCACATAGTTCTTACCCCTGTTTCTCACTTGCTGTGGCCTCGGCAGGCCGGGGTATATGAGAAAAACCATGAATTTGGAGTCACTGGATCTATTAGTTCCATCTATTACTAATTCAGTGACCATGAATAAGCTTCAACTTCTTAGAGCCTCTCTTCCCTGATTCAAAAAATGAGGTTGACTTGTGCCTCACCAGCCTCCCGGATACTTATGAGGGGCACATGATACATGTGTGTTGAATGACTTTGTGAATAGTTAAAGCACTCTGCAAATGAGTTCAATCATTAACAAATTATGTTACAGATGGGAACAAAGGTTTATTTTTGGTTTGTCTGACATTTAGCATGAGGTACTAAGGAATAAATTCTCTGATACCTGCTCATCCAAGTTAAGGCTTGGTTTTAGGCAACATTCATAAACACACCACGTTTCTGGTTCTCTGGCTCTAACTCTCAGAGTGTCGTCAAGCATGTGAAGTTCCTTGAATGAAAGATGTAATGGAAACAAATAGGTGCATGCCCCTGCATCAGCATGTGTACCATTATGGTCCCCAGACATGACAGAGGACCCTTCATTTCTTAGCTGTAATTATTCAATCATTATAATGGTATTAAATGGGCTGATATCTGGGTGCTTATTTTAGTTAGATGGTGATGGTGAGAGAAAAACATGGATCACAAATGTGATTTAACTGAGGATCGTCTTTACTTGGTGTGGGTAAAAGACCAAACTTCGCAACACATAAGATCACCTTCCCTGGCCCTCCTCTGTCAGTCATAGGCATGCAAAAGATAATCCTCAGTACTGACGCTCTGTTCCAGGATGGAGAATTAAGGAGAGGAGAGGTTAGAGGTGCTGGCAGCTCTTTTACTTTGTCTTTTCTAGGGTCGTATTATGTCTCTGTGCTGTGGTGGGATAATGAGGAAACAATGAGAATAATGTTCTTTCTCTGTGGGAGAAAAGATCATCCATATATATTTACCACCTCAGATGTATTATTTGAAGAGAGTTGAAGAGAGGCAACTTGATGTAATGGAAGGACCATGGGCCTTGAAGTTATACACACATGGATTCAAAAATCCAATCCCACATTAACTATTTTTTAATGGATATGACCTTGGGAAATTACTTAATCTCTGTGAACTTTTCAGATGTTTCATCTGACAGTGTAGATATGGGATCCCCTAGGACAAGACCTGGCACATAGATGCTCACTAAATGGTGGCTATAGTGGTAACTATGTATGCCTCTGAGGGTCGTTGGCTCTGAAGTTGTTCAACCAGGTGAAGGCTGACCATTGTGACAGCTGCAGTGGAAATTTTAGTCAGAAGGTGAGGGGGGGGCTTCTTTCTAAAACCATAGTTAGTTCATAAGGCTGCTCACAGCCCTCTGCTGCAGTTATAACATTCACTGAATTACACGGAGGAACCTTTGGAGAAAGAGCACTGCCTAGGGCATAGCAGACAAAAAGCCTAAAGGAAACTTAGACGGGGTGTGGGGATTGAAAACCAAGTGATTTGATTCTGGGTGGCCCAAAGAGACTGTTTAACTTGGATTCAAACTTTGAATATAGACTACAGAATAGAGATTAAGAAAGTTTTATTTAATCCCCTGCCATGTGGCAGGCACCACGCGAAGTAGCTTGCATACTTAATTTAATTTACTGTTCATGGTAGCCATACAAGGTAGGTGGGATTATTTTCACTCTGAAAATAAGTAAAAGAAGCTAAATAATTTGTTGAAGGTCACACAGCTAGAAGGTGAGGGTTTGCACTCAACCCAGTTCCAATTCCAAATCCCACAATTTACCCAGTATGCCTCACTGCTATCAGATCTTAGAGCCCACTTACGTTAGTGCAGTAATTTCTTTTTTTTGAGACGGAGTTTCGCTCTTGTTACCCAGGCTGGAGTGCAACGGCGCGATCTCAGCTCACCACAACCTCTGCCTCCTGGGTTCAGGCAATTCTCCTGCCTCAGCCTCCGGAGTAGCTGGGATTACAGGCATGTGCCACCATGCCCAGCTAATTTTTTGTATTTTTAGTAGAGACGGGGTTTCACCATGTTGACTAGGATGGTCTTGATCTCTTGACCTCGTGATCCACCCGCCTCGGCCTCCCAAAGTGCTGGAGTGCAGTAATTTCTAATTGTGGCCCTTGGATCCCAAGGGGATCCCTAAAGGTAGAAATGAATTCTGTGTCATTTTCATTATTTCAAAAACTTCAATGGAAAATCTTACATTTAGTTGCAACCAGTTTATACTCAGTAACAAAAATGGCATGTTTCTTTGCTTTGGGTAGAGTTAATGTTAACTATTTTTCTCCCATGATGACCTAGTTTGTCAGTTATTTATTAATTAATAAAACTAATTAAATACTCAAAAATGCTGTTTGTTAGACATTCTTTCAAATTCTGAAGCTCCTGGGGAGGGTAAATGGGGGTTCTTGATGGTGAAAAAAAATTGTGAAATGTAGTCAGATCTGAAGACTGCAAATTGATGGGTCATCAGCCAATTCTGGCCTAAAGATGCATTTTGTTTGGCTAATAAGGTGTTGATGTTTTTCAGTTTATAAATTACTGACAAGCATTTAAAAATTAGAAAATATCACATCAAAAAGCAAATGTTTAAGCTTCTTGTCAAAATTCCAAAGTTCTGGCATTAATGGATGCACATATCTTCATGACAATAACCAGCTGGAACTGGGTTGTCACTTAAATGTAGCATGTGCTTTTCCAACTTCCCACAGTCTCCACCTGACCCAGTTCATTGATGTATGTTACCTGTCAGGCCCTGTAAGCATGTGAGTCTGTGATGCCTGAGCTAGCTCAGACTCATCATTTTGTTTGGCTATAGAGTAAAACCCATTTTCTGGTTGTGATCACTCACATCTTTGATATTCTGTACAGCTTCATGTCTTGGGATTTTTTTCCTACGTTGTTATTTTATGTCTTTCATGTAAATATATCTATTTGACAAGAGTCACATTCTCATCAGTTCACAATTGGCATTGTTTTGGGGGGTGGGAATGCAGAGGAGGCATATGGTGCCCCCACCCTGAAGGAGGTCACAGTCTAGCTTGTTTCCTTTTAACTTACAAAAGCATCCAGCATTCTGATATGCATGTTTAGGGCTTACTAGAATGTGGAGATTAACAGCATGGGATTTGGTATCAGAGAGGCCTGGGTTAGAGGACTGACATAGTTTATGTAAACTCTTCAGACTCTGTTTTCTTGTCTTTAAAAGGGGGATATTTTTAGTACTTATGGGATGCAGTGAGGTTTGAATGACCCAATGATTACAAGGGGCTTAGTTCCAATGCATAACATTTAATAACTGCCAAATACCTGGTAACTTTTATTACTAGGGCTAGACTTGCAGTTAGCACTCAATTTATGCTTGTCGAATTAACAAATAAATTGAACAAATTGAGTGTAAGGAATTAGATGTATTCAGACAAATAGCTGCAATGGATGATGTCACGAAAAATGTCTCCAGCAGACCTAAGGACTATGGATTTATTTATTTGTAATTTCAACTTCTATTTTAGTAAGTTCAAGGGGTACTTTGCAGGTTTGTTACATGAATATATTGCATGATGCTGAGGTTTGGGGTACAATTGATCCTGTCACCCAGGTGGTGAATATAGTATAGTACCCAGTAGTTAGTTTTTCAGCCCGTGCCCCACTCCCTCCCCCGTCTAGTAGTTGCTAGTGTCTATTATTCCCATCTTTAGTCTGTGTACCCCGTATCTAGCTCCCACTTACAAATGAAAACATGCAATATTTGGGTTTTTGTTCCTGTGTTAATTCACTTAGGATAATGGCCTCTAGCTGTATCCATATTGCTGCAAAGGACATGATTTTGTTCTTTTTATGACTACATAGTATTCCATGGTATATATGTGCCACATTTTCTTTATCCAGCGTACTGCTGATGGGCATACAAGGTTGATTCCAAATCTTCACTATTGGGAATAGTGCTGTGATGAATGTAAGAGTGCATATAACTTTTTGGTAGAATGGCTTGTTTTCTTTTGGATATATACCCAGTAATGGGATTGCTGGGTTGAACTGTTTTAAGCTCTTTAATTGCTTTCCACAGTGGCTAAACTAATTTACATGCCATCAATCGTGTATAAATATTTTCTTTTCTCCATAGCCTCACCAGCATCTGTTGTTTTTTGACTTTTTAGTAATAGTGATTCTGACTGGTGCGAGAAGGTATCTCACTGTGGTTTTGATTTGCAATTCTCTGGATTAGGATGTTGAACATTTTTCCATATGTTTTTTGGCCACTTGGATGTTGATATGGTTTGGCTCTGTGTGCCCACCCAAATCTCATCTTGAATTGTACTCCCATAATTCCCATGCATTGTGGGAGGGACCCAGTGGGAGATAATTTGAATCATGGGGACAGTTTCCTGCATACTGTTTTGTGGTAGCAAATAAGTCTCACAAGTTCTTGCATCTTCCTATTTTCTTTTGCCACCACCATGTAAGAAGTACCTTTTGCCTCCTGCCATGATTCTGAGGCCTCCACAGCCATATGGAACTGTAAGTCCAATTAACCCTCTTTTTCTTCCCCTAGTCTCGGTTATGTCTTTATCAGCAGCGTGAAATGGACTAATACAGTACATTGCTACCAGTAGAGGAGCGTTGCTGAAAAGATACCTGAAAATGTGGAAGTGACTTTGGAACCGGGTAACATGCAGAGGCTGGGCTCACAAGAAGACAAGGAAATATGGGAAAGTTTGGAACTTCCTAGAGACTTATTGAATGGCTTTGACAAAAATGCTAGTAGTGATATGAACAATATGAACAGTAAGGTCCAGGCTCAAGTGGTCTTTGCTGGAGGTGAGGAACTTGTTGGAAACTAGAGCAGAGGTGACTCTTGTTATGTTTTTGCAAAAAGACTGGTGACATTTTGCTTCTGCCCTAGAAATTTGTGGAACTTTGAACTTGAGAGAGATGATTTAGGGTCTCCAGCGGAAAAAATTTAGAAGCAGCAAAGCATTCAAGAAGTGACTTGGGTGCCGTTAAAAGCATTCAGTTTTGTATGGGCATGGTAGCTCATGCCAGTAATCCCAACACTTTGGGAGGCCAAGGCAGGCAGATCACAAGGTCAGGAGGTCGAGACTAGCCTGGCCAACATAGTGAAACCCCGTCTCTAGTAAAAACAGAAAAATTAGCCAGGTGTGGTGGCAGTCACCTGTAATCCCAGCTACTCAGGAGGCTGAAACAGGAGAATCACTTGAACCTGGGAGGCGAACGTTGCAGTGAGCTGAGACAGCACCACTGTACTTCAGCCTGGGCAGCAGAGTGAGATTCTGTCTCAAAAAAAAAAAAAAAAAAAGGTATTTAGTTTTAAAAGGGAAACAGAACAAAAAAGTTTGGAATATTTGCAGCCTGACAATGTGATAGAAAAGAATAACTTTTTTTTTTTTTTTTTTTTGGGAGAAATTCAAGGCAGCTGCAGAAATTTGCCTAAGTAAGGAGAAGCCAAAAGTTAATCCCCAAGACAATGGGGAAAATGTCTCCAGGGCATGTCGAGGTCTTCACAGCAGCCCCTCCCTGCACAGGCCAGGAATTCTAGGAGAAAATGGTTTCCTTGGTCAGGCGAGGGTCCCTGTGCTGTGTGTAGCCTAGGCACTTGGTGCCCTGCATCCCAGCCACTCCAGCCTTGTCTCGGGCCTTGGCTTCAGAAGGTGGAAGCCCTAAGCCTTGGCAGCTTCCACATGGTATTAAGCCTGTGTGTGCACAGAAGTCAAGAAATGAAGTTTGGGAATCTGCCTAGATTTCAGAAGATGTATTGAAATGCTTGGGTGCCCAGGCAGAAGTTTGCTGCAGGAATGGGGTACTCATGGAGAACCTTTGCTAGGGCAGTCTGGAAGAAAAATGTGGGGTCAGAGCCCACACACAGAGTCCCTACTGGGGCACTGCCTAGTGAGGCTGTGAGAAGAGGGCCACAGTCCTTCAAACCCCAGAATGGTAGATGCACTGACAGCTTGCACCATGCACTTGGAAAAGTGTCTATGGCCAGCCATGAAGGCAGCTGGTAGAGAGGCTATACCCTGCAAAGCCATAGGGGTGGAGCTGCCCAAGACCATGGGAAACCACCTCTTGCATCAGCGTGACACATATTTGAGACATGGCATCAAAGGACATCATTTTGGAACTCTAAGATTTGACTGCCCTGCTGGATTTCAGACTTGCATGGGGCCAGTAGCCCCTTTGTTTTGGCCAATTTCCTACATTTGGAATGGCTGTATTTACTCATGTCTCACAGATAGAACTCAGTGCCTGTACCCACAGTGTATCTAGGAAGTAACTAAATTGCTTTTGATTTTACAGGGTCATAGGTGGAAGGGACTTGCCTTGTCTCAGATAAGACTTTGGACTGTGAACTTTTGATTAAATGTGGAAATGAGTTAAGACTTTAGGGGACTGTTGGGAAGGCATGATTGGTTTTGAAATGTGAGGTCCTGAGATTTAGAAAGGCCAGGGGCAGAATGATATGGTTTCGCTGTGTGTCCCCACCCAAATCTCATCTTGAATTATACTCCCCTAATCCCACATGTTATGGAAGGGACCTGGTGGGAGATAATTTGAATAATGGGGGTGGTTTCCCCCATGCTGCTCTAGTGGCAGTGAGTAAGTCTCACGAGATCTGATGGTTTTATCAGGGGTTTTCACTTTTGCATCTTCCTCATTGCCGCAGCCATGTAAGAAGGGCCCTTCACCTCCCGCCATGATTCTGAGGCCTCCCTAGGCATGTGGAACTGTAAGTCCAATTAAACCTCTTTTTCTTCAGTCTGTATTATGTCTTTATCAGCAGCGTTAAAATGGACTAATACAGATGTCCTTTTTAAAGAAGTAGCTATTCATGTCTTTGACCCACTTTTCAATGGAGTTACTTGTTCTTTGCTTGTTGAATTAAGTTTGTTATAGATTCCAGATATTAGACCTTTGTCAGATGCATATTTCACAAATATTTTCTCCCATTTTGCAGGTTGTCTGTTAACGCTGTTGGTAGTTTCTTTTGTTGTGCAGAAGCTCTTTAGTTTAATTATGAATAGATCCCACTTCTCAATTCTCGTTGCAATTGCTTTTGAGGACTTATTAATTCTTTGCCAAGACTGATATCCAGGTTGGTGTTTCCTAGGCGTTTTTCTAGAATTCTTGATGTGGGATGAGATGGCCGGGGCAGGCCTATGTTACTTACAGTTAAATGATTACAAGCTTGCTTTGCTTTTTATACACTGTGATTTGTGCCACAGATCATATCCAAACTATGGTGTAGTAAAAAAAAGCACAGATGAAGTGGTAACAGGAGGCCTATGGTAAAGACCATCTGAGAGCTCCCTATAACCATGGAACACTGTGGTGTGGTTGCAGAGCAGAAGAAAAGAACCTGCTTTGATTCCACAACTCTTCCCACCATAGAGTTTGTGTAAGGATCTTGTTAAGGGAGCTTATGCAAAAGACTCTGGGAAGGAAATGCAACCTCGGCTCATAAGACTCGAGAGGGTCTTTGCAGATGGTGCTGGTAAGGCCAGAAAGCCTTTCAGGGCAGAGACACAAGAACACCACAGGCTCTGCCTATGTTCTCAGAATATGGAGCAATTCCAATTGTTATGTGTCCACAATGCTTGGGAGATAAAAGCCCCTTGATGCATTGTGTGTGGTCAGATCTTACGGCACTGCTGCACCTCTCTTGCCAAAACACCTGGATAGACGATGGATGGTAAAATCTCAGTGTCCTTAGTTAGCATTTCTTAGGAGAACTGGATTTGCCATTGAATGCTGCAGACACATGTTCTTCCTCCAGCCATCTTCCTCCTCAACCCCACTCCCCACAGCCTGCAACACTAACAAGATAATATACCTAATAAAAACGCTTGGAACCCAGAGCTCATTGCCAACAGGGATTACCCTGTGAGAGTGCATTGGACCCCTGAACCCATGCTTTAAAATTCTATTCTTGTGTCTTTGTCTTTATTTCTTTTCTCACTCCCTCATCACTGCCAGGACACAGGGCACCCATGCACAGGGTTAGGCTGGTTCCCAACACTTATAGTTTGAGATCATCTGTTTAAATCTTTAATTTATCTTGAGTTATTTTTTGTATATTGTAAAAGGTAGGCAGCCAATTTCATTCTATTGCATATGGCTAGTGAGCCATCCCAAAACCATTTATTGAATAGCAAGACCTTTCCCCATTGCTAATTTTTTTTAACTTTGTCAAGGATCAGGTGGCTATAGGTGTGCAGTTTTATTTCTAGGTTCTCTATTCTGTTCATTGGTCTATGTCTGTTTTGGTATCATTACCATACTGTTTTGGCTACTGTAGCCTTATAGTATAGTTTGAAGTCAAGTAATATGATGCTTCCAGCTTTGTTCTTTTTGCTTAGGATTGCTTTAGCTATTTGGGCTCCTTTTTGGTTATATACAAATTTTAGAATAGTTTTTTAAAAAATTCTGAGGACCACAAATTTTTGATGATTTTGAATACCTTGCAGGATGAGGCCAGAGAAGCACATGTGGCAGAATCAGGACCCAGACTTATTTAAAATAGATTTATAAGCCTACCTCTGTGGGATAACATCAGCCCCAGTTTAATATGAGTTGATACAAGGTTGAGAAGAGAGGATAAATCTCTAATATCCTTGGAAGGTATCCGTGCTCAGTGTTTTGAGAATGTACTCAGGACTTCAGAATTGGCTGTAGGCTAGACACCCTGATAGAGCAGCTTGAGATTATCTCCCTGAAGAACTATAACAGTTACTAAGGTGACTGCTAGAAGCATTAGTCACTTTCCTAGGGATCCTGCATTGCTTTTTAGAGCCTTAAGGACAGGCAGAGAAGAACTGATACTCTGTGGTATCACTGTTTCATTTAATTGTTAAACTGATCCTCTGGGAAAATTCACTAAATAGATAATAAACTAAATCTCAGAGAGATAAAGGAATATGTTCCAGTATTCATACGTTTTATAAATGGCAACCAGAACTCTTTGGACAATTCCTCATAACATCTCAAACCCAACCCTGTCACCCCTACACATATTAAATACATAGTACCCATCAGCCCAAACCCACCCTCACTCTGAAAAGGAAACTTAATGAATTGACTCAGTGAACACACTCTGCCTTCTTTCTTTTTATTCATTTTCAACACACATTTATTAAGCACCTACATTATGCCAGGCACAGCTCTTGGTACTGAGAATATAGGATTAACAAATCAGATGAGATTCCTTCTCTGGCAGAATTTAGTTCTAGTGGGAAGATCTAGACAAAAAACTAATAAACCACTAACTGAACAAAATAATTTTTGATAGTCATATTAGAAAGGAAGTGAAACCTGATTTGTAGAAAGGGACTGGGGAGAAGAAGCTACTATAGCTACAGTGTGGAAGGTGTTCAAAGAAGGGCTAAGGAGGTCACTTTTGAGCTGAAACGTGACAGAACAAAGCCATCCAAACAAAAATGAGGCAGAGGAACAGGGAGTTCAGACCCGCGTCAGACCACTTCATATTTCAGCCTTTTGTTTAA